CGGGCGGATGCCGCGCCCGCCCCCGCGTTCCCTCAGTGCTGCGGATGCGGGGACGACGACGACGGCGGGGGGAGGTCCCGTCCGCTCCCCACGGCAAGTTAAAAATGATTGATGTGGCCCTTGCGGAGCGGCTTCCTGGCCTACCTGGTTTCACAGTGACAGCTGGGGGCGGGGGGGGGGGAGCCTGTCGTTCCCCACGCGTGTTCGAGTAACTCGGCGGTTCCGGGGTCGGCGAGGGTCCCTCACCCGCACGTTGCGAAGGGTTTCTCAGGCGTGATTTTACTCCCCGCTTTCACGTCAGGTGCGAGTATCGCAACGGCCGCGGCCCCTCCGCGTTCCCTGCTCGGGCCCGCGAAATATTGCGGGGACGGGTGGCGGGTGCGCCGAGCTGCGCCGTGCTCAGCTGAGAGGGCACCTGGTGTGGCAGCAGCCGAGTGCCCGACATGGGTCATTCCGCAGCCGCCAAGAAACTTGTTGGCGATTACGCCGAAAGACGGGGAATATTGGTGCGCGAGCCGAGTCGCCAAGAAGCGGTCGCGTCAAAATTGGGAAGGAGATCCTAATTTTCTTCCATGCCTCGTTCGGGCCCAGTTTTAGGCTGTTCGCAGCTGCTAGCCTGTGCTCCAATAAGCAGGATATCTGTAAAGCTGATGTGTAAATCAAGTCACGCAGGTGGCATTTTGCATCTCCTCTTTATTAAATGTGAAAACATGGGACTGTAAGGCCTACTAGTTTCTCTATGGAGTAGGCTCAATAATGAGAAATAATTATGTGTGTGTATACAAAAAATGAGTATAAATATATGAATTGTATATAAGAATTACAAATTTATGTACATCTTCCCTGATCTTTAAGAGATCCTTACAGTCTCGTTCATAGTCACAATACCCAGAGGATATAACATGTATTTTTATCTTTTAGCTTGTTGACATGAAGGATTATGACTAATTTGGAAAAATGCTAGGTCATCTCTGCTTCCTGTCAGCCTGTGAAAAGAATTACCGGTCAATGAGGATGACATCACTTATGCTACAAAATTTCAAATTTCATTTGTGTATTCTTCGGAGTACAAGTTTTGCACTTCTGTTTTGCTTTACTACTTAATTTCCTTCTCTATTAAGTTTTGTACATCGCATACAAAAATTGTCATGATTCATGCCTTGAATTGAATGTTTTAAAGATTCCCTAAACTGCAAATTGTAAATGTTCTGGCAGGCTGTAAATTTAGTTCCTGTTTGGTCAAAAGGTGAGCAAACCAGCAGATCTGTCTCAACAGTAACAGAAAATCTTGTTTAAAATAACAGTTTGAAAAATAAGCATTGAAGAAATCTCAGTGTATATAAAAATGTAACTGTTTTTTAGACAAATAATTGCAAATTGAGATGATATTTAGGAAAAGGTACAAGCTAATTGTGATCATCATTTTCAAGAGAGAGTACCTTAACCTCAGTCCATCCAAGAAGGTCAATATGTGATCTTGCTGAAATCTCTTTTTTTTTTTTTTTTTTTTTCATAAAAACTAAGAAATCATTCACTGCTCAGATGTGGAAAAGGACATAAAATCCTTTACAGAAAGTACTGATTATTTTCAACTGATATTTCTATTTATGCTGCAAACTTTACTTAGTGAGTAAATTACTTGCATTCAGGAACTTCAAACTTTCTTTAAAGAGCCTTCTACTGCCGTACTTCCACAGCTGGTGGCCTGTATGACAGCACACATTCAAAAAGGCTATGATTCAGCAAGGTTTGTAAGCACAGGATTAGCTCCATTCAATGAAGTGTCTCTTTTCTTATGATTAAAGTTAGCTTCCTACCCTGCTAGACTGGCATCCAAAGCATTCGCTAGTTGTAGTTGTAGCAATATAATTGCAATGTTTATATTTAGAAGGTCAACATATTATTAGTGTGCTTTACTACCTCTGTATAACCTACTTAGAATTTATCTTGCAGACACTGATTATTATTCACAATATTTCAGGGAAAGAAAATGCCATTCTTTCGAAATACAACGAGATTGAGAATCAAAACTCATAACTTCATAAATTGCATGTGGAAGTAGAGCTGGCCATGGGGCTGCAATACTGGATATGAAACTTAGTTTCTTGCCCAATTTGGCCACACTTCATAGGAAAGTCTGCAGCCCTGTTCTTCTTTTGTCTTTCATTTTTGCTACTATTTTAACTTAATATGTGAACATTTGGTCACAGGTACTTTTTGAATAATCTTAGCCTTTCCCTTGCCCTCGATAATTCATAGTTCTCATCTTTTTCACTTCACCCACACGTGGTAGATGCCTACAGCCAGGTTCCTTCAGTTTAAAACAGAGTTTAATGCCTTACGTTTCCATTCCTTTACCTTGAAGATGCTTACGCCAAGGGTTAGCTCTATTTTCATTTTCCCTTAACAGTACCAGATATTACAGATGATTCTTTACAAAGACAGTGAATGCCTTACTAAAAGAGATATTTTTTTTTTAATACAGAGAACAGTAGTTTAAGTAGTTTTCTAAATACTCATGATTTTAGGTGAGGATTTCTTTCTTCCATTTCAGCTGCAAAAAGTGTTCAGTGTACTTTATATTCCTTTATATGCTCAGAATTTTGAGGGGCCAAAAGGGTCCCTAGGTGTCAATTTGGTTACTCCATGCTGCCTTTCATGTATGCATGTTTGCCAAACTTCAGTTTGCCGCACGTACAGCCACACCAGTAGTTCAGTGATGCTTTGGGTGCTAAATTACTAACCTAGCTCCCATTCCTTCCTTTTTGTTTTTTTGTAGGTGTTTTATTTTCCCCCAGGAAACCTTTGGTTAACAATTTTAAACTAAAGGGAAGGATTACAAACTTTCTACCTGACTATGAATTGATATAAGATGATTTCTCTGTTGTTTCGAGGGGACATTGTGATACACATATCATGCAAATGGCATATGATTTAAGCAGCTAACTCTTGGCCTTTTGGTTCTCTGAGAAAGGCATCAGTCATTTAAATGTCTCCATGACTGCAGACGAAAGAGTCTCTCCTGTGGTCTGAGCAGGTTTGCATTTGTCTACCTGAAAGCATGTTTTTTTCTTCCCTGCAAATATATAATTTTCCTTACAAATCTTGTTAAAGCATATCTTTACCATCAGTGTCATAGTAAAACTACTACAACAAGTTTGCTAGAGAACCAGTTCAGACATGTAGGGAGAAAATGGACAAGTCCTTCAATGGTGGTTATTACTAATATATAGCTCTGTATCGTCTCCTTTTGTCACATTATGTGCAGTGCCTAAAAACATGGGACTGCTCTGAGGAGGAAGAATAACTAGTAAAGATAATTAGTACTGGTATGTGTTTTTCATTTGTTTTGTTTTGCTAAAGAATCTCATGATCAGGCAGGTTCTATGAAGTAAACAAGTTCCCTTTCATGCAAGAAATCTCTGCCTGTGACAAAGGAAGGGGGAAATTGTTCCACCCATCTGAAGTAGTTCCTTCATAGTATGGAAATAAGACCGTTCATATAATGAACAATCACACATCATGTGAATGTATCTACACATTCATAAAGCAACTATCACACTTGTATTTCAATATGATTATGTTTAATGTTTTTGTAAAAGCATTGAAATGATTATGAGTCTAGTGGCTGAATCCAAATGAGGATTTAAGCACCAAGAGTATAAGGTAGATGCCGACATCCAAAACTGTGATTCTGTCGAGTCTTGCCGAGTCAATGCCTCGCTTCGGAAGTGCATCGTTTTAGCCAGTTCAAACATGGAAATGCTGTTACTAGGGTGTCTAGACTTCTGCCCAGTCTGAGCAAGTTTGTGCCTAGCTTCTGCCAAAACTAGATTGAGATCTGGAAGCAAGACATTGCTTTGCCTACGTTTGCTGAGGAACTTGTTTTGGTAAGCATTCTGAAAGCATATCTCACATATATGCAAAACTGCTCCCCTCACAAAATTAAGTCGTGGCCACCTTTTTAGAAAAAATTGTTGGAGGAATGCTGTGTTAGCTAACCGGAGACACTGAACTACCAGTGTGCTGGACAAGCTCTCCAAAGACAGATGGTGATATTTTCTTCAGATGGAAGACAGGATAGAGTAGCAATAAGCTAGGACATTTTTTGTTTATTCTTTTCCCCAAAGAACTAGTTATGTATATTCATACTAGCACATCTCGTTTTGAATACTCAGGATAGCATGCTAGTTAGAGCAGTCACTCTGCAAATGGAATATCCAGCATTTTTGATCTTAATTGTATGAAAGGAGTTGTCATTCCAGCCTCCTTCCTTTAAATTACCAAAGGCAACTGCAGGACATATTCTCCCATAGTGTGCATTCCTACTTCACAAACACTCCTTTTTTACTGTGCCCATGAGATGAGGTGTTTAGTTCACTGCTCTGTGGAATGTTGCAAAAGTTGTAGAAATGAAATATAGTACAAGTCACATTTATTTATACAATTTTTGGTATGTAACTGTGGTGTGTTCTTACAAATTTTGTCAAGGTTCTGCAGAGACTACTGTAAAATAATAAGTTCCACAAATTATTAAATTGGTATGAGCTTTATCAATTTTTTTTGTAGCAAGACATAACATTCAGGGTAGTCAAACAGAACAAGAAAACCCATCTGTTGCTACCAACCTCAGGGAACTAAGCTATCTCATCAAGGAGTCCTCAGATAAATGTAAAATTTCTGTGCCGAAC